GCACTTAAATCAAGAGGTTTAGCCATCAAACAATGGCAGCTGGTGTTGCAAACAGCTCTTCAAGCAATACGCTCGCTTTTATGCACAGCAACTAATGCTACACCTCAAGAAAGGATGTTCACACATATCAGAAGATCTCACAATGGGTGCTCATTGCCTACTTGGCTGTCTACTGCAGGACCTGTTCTAATGAGAAACCACATCCAAGAAAATAAATATGAACCCATTGTTCAAGAGGTTGAGCTCTTGGAGGCTAATCCAGAATATGCCCATGACAGGTTGCCTGACGGCAACGAAACCAGCATCTCATTGAGGCACCTTGCTCCTCGAGGGGATTCCACTGGGAACCTAGATGAAAACCATCGCCTTACTCTGGAATCTCTTTAAAAATACTGAGCGCTTTGTGATGCTGTTTCCTTCCGTCCTCTTGTATCCTTACAAAAGTAAATAAAATAATTTTCGCTCACTAGGTCAATGTACTTAAATGTGTAAGTCAGAAACTCGAAACAGGACAGTCGCAAGAGAAAAATTGAAGTATGCTAAGGTCCAACTCGGGGCCCCAAGTGCGCCGTACCAAGATCTTTTCAAAATTAAATGCTAACTCGGATTTTTGGCAAATACCTCTTGATGAAGAGTCTTCGTATCTCACAACATAGATCACACCCTTTGGCAGATTTCGTTTCTTATGTTTACAATTCCAAATATCATCTGCTCCGAATATTTTCAACGTAGAATGTCTCAAGCTTCAGAAGGTCTTCTTGGTAGTATATGTCGCGTGGATGATATACTCGTCTCTGGTTCAAATCAAAAAGAGCGTGATGAACGTCTAACATCTACTTTAATCCGTCTGAAAGAAACAGGAATAACTCTTAATTAAAAAAAATTTGTTTTGCTGTTAAATATATAAAATATCTTGGTCATGTCATTGATGAATCAGGAATACAGCCAGATCAGGACAAAGTAAAAGCCATGCAAAATTTCAGAAGCCCAACAAACAAACCTGAACTGTAACAGTCACTTGGAACGGCAAATTATTTAGCAAGATTTATTTCACGATTTTCAGATATTATGTCACCTTTGATTTCCATACTATCCACAAAGAATAAATTTGTTTGGAACTCTCCACAGGAAAGGGTAATAAAGAAGATGAAAGACATGTTGTTATCTGAACCTATACTTACCATTTTTGACCCAAACAAGCAATCAGTTGTTACAGCCGATGCTTCTTCTTATGGATTTGGAGCCACACTGTGTCAGAAACATGATGCTACAATCAAGGTGGTAGCTTATGCATCGAGAAATCTAACTCCTACTGAACCACGTTATGCTCAAATAGAAAAAAAAGCCCTTGCACTTACATTGCATTTGAAAAATTTTCCAATTATCTAATGGGTAGCAAGTTTCTGTTTCAGACAGATCATAAACCTCTTAACCCAATACTTAAGGCCTGGTTTCTTAATACAAGCGCCTTATTTGGGCGTCAGCGGGTAGTTGACGTACCGCTGACACCAATCTGTCCTAAGAAACCAAGCCCTAGTTAGCTCAGCGTGAGAATTAGTCGGTCCAACGCGCAAGTGAGGAAGACGATTCCATAATGTTAAAAACTTTCGTCGGAAGAGTAAAAATAGGGAAAGAGGGAAATTACACTGAGAATTTTGGGGGGGTTTTCCATTCGCTTCCTTGGCTAAATTTCAAAGGCTTGCCGTCACCGTTCGCATTTGTTTATGCTTATTTTTTGCGACGTTTGCTGTCATTTAGTTTGAAACATTTGATACAGTAATATGGATAAATTCAATTTTATTGAGAAACTGGAAGGTGAAAGGTAACTGGGTAAGATGAAAATTTGACGTTGAACTTCAGCTTACAGTTCAAAAAGTAATGCCATTAGTGCGTGGTGAGATGATGAAGTCACATATGTTATCAGAAACAGCCAATGAAACTGAAAGAGTAGCTTATGCTATTGCTATTAAAACTTTTGAAGAATTTGACGCTATTGCTCGATATGTCATTGGATCAAGTGTGAGAGGTGAGCTAAAAAGACACATTCTTACTTGCAAAACTGGTAAAGAAATGTGGGATGCTCTTCACTCTGTTGAACAGAAAAATGAAAAAAGACGAGATCTACTTTATTCTCAACTGTTGTAAAGATCCAGTTGATAACATAGCCACTCATGTATCTAAACTTCAACATAGTTGGAATGATTTACATGAAGAGCTTAAGTCTGAAAAAGTGCAGCTTCCGAAGTCTATGCTGTTAAACAGAATTTCAAATACACTTCCAAATGAGTACCTGGAATTTAAAAATGCGTGGGAGTCTGTGCCCAACAATGAAAGAACTATTTCCAGTCTTACTGAGAGACTTAGACTCCACGAACAGCGTTTAGAGGAAGTAAAAGCTCCGGCTGGCGATAGCAAACGGGTACCATTTGTTGTTAAACCTGCCAATGGATTTAACATAAAGCTTCAAGACAAAGTTCTTACTGATTCAAAAAGGGATTATAAACATAAAAGAACAAATTGTTATTCATGTGGTAAACTTGGACACATGAAAGCTAACTGTAAATATTCGAAACATGAACAAAATAAATATTCAAAAGATGAACAAAATTTAGGTCAGGCATTTATGACTTGTGGTACATAGAAAATCTCAGGATTTTTGGCTGATAGATTCTGGTTCTTCACATCGCATTTCATCAAGAAAAGAATGGTTTTCAACTTATGAGAACTTTGATAATCCAAAGCTATTATGATAAGGTGATGGAAGATTAATGTTTGTCAAAGGTATTGGTGAAATTCAAATTTAAACTTTGGTTCATGGAAAGTGGAAACCTGGTTATTTGAAACAAGTTTGGTATGTTCCTGAGAATGATCAGAATCTCTTTTCTTCAGGATCTGCATTAGATAACGGTCTGCATGAATATGCTGACAACAAAGTTCGTGAATTCAGGAACAAAAAGGGTGATACTGTAGCAGTTGGTATCAGACACAATAGTGTTTACAGACTTCTGTTGCGTGTGTTGGTTCCAGAAACTGCTTGTTTAGCTGTAGAGAATAACTGCCTACAGTTATTGCATGAACGTATGGGCCACCAAAACAAACGATATGTTCAACAATTTTTGAAACGACGAGCTATTGATGTAAAACTAGACAGAGAATTTTGTGATGCCTGCATGTATGGCAAAATGTACAGGCTGAGTTTTGGTCCCCGACAAGATCGTCCAACTAGCCTTGGTAACCTTGTTCATGCTGATATGTGTGGACCTATGACTGAAAAATCATTGGGTGGAAATAGATATTTTATTGCATTTAAAGATGACTATTCAAAATATAGGACTGTAGACTTAATCAGAAGTCAAAAATATGCTTATAAAATTTTATCCGAGATGAAAACTGCTGGATACAGATTAAGAGTTACTAATTGATGGAGGTGGAGAATTCAAGAATTCTGAAGTGTTTGTTATTGTACAGAAAGCTGGCTTAAATCACAGGACATCCATGCCCTACACACCGGAGCAAAATGGGGTCATTGAGCGAGAAAATAGAATTTTGGTTGAAGCAGCTAGGTCCATGTTGCATGCCAAGGAAATGCCTGAAAGCCTTTGGGGTGAAGCTATCAATACTGCTGCCTATGTTCTGAATCGTACTGCTCCTACTCCTGAAGAAGGCAAATTTCCATATGAACTTTGGTTTCGAAAAGTTCCCTCGATTGATCATCTAAACATTTTTGGAACTGAATTTTATGTTCACAGACTCTTACAAGATCTTAATTTTACTGTTGCTTTACCCGTTCTTCAAATAGATAATGAAAGCGCCATCCGTCTCAGTAAGAATCCCGAGTTTCATAATCGAACGAAGCATATAGATGTGTGTTATAAATTTGTGCGAGAAAAGTTTGAAAATAGACTATTAGATGTTCAGCACTGTACAAGTGAAGACCAAGAAGCTGACCTTTTTACAAAACCCATTCCTAAATTTTGTTTTCAGAAACTGAGAAAAATGATTGGCATGTGTGATTTAAAAACTTTAATTTAAATCCTGACTTTAGTAATTTTGTTTCTAAATTTAGTTTGCCATTTCTGTTACATATTTTTTCATTTAACTTTTAAAAGGAGAATTTTTTTTAACAAGTATGGATTTAGGGGAACTGTTAAAGTATTAAATCAATACTTGTTAACTGTAACCTGTTTTTATAACCCATTAGCCACCTACTACAACTTCCAATTCCCCATCATTAGATCAATCGATTATTGTGTGATGTTCTATGCTGTTTTTCATCTCACCGTTAACTGACTTTAATAAATTTGTTTTTATGTAAAAGATAACTCTTTTGTTTTACTAATAGTTAGTAATGATGACAGAAACTTGGGTGGAGAGTATGAAAAGCAGTGAAGACTCTCCAATTGTTTTATGTAAACCACTGAGTTCAACACATGATATATTAACCCTAGAAAACTTCCTCCTGGTCATAATGAACTCTTCTCAAGCTCATATGTTAAATTAATATGGAAATGATGTGATTTGTATTGACTTCGCCCATGGGGTTGATTCTTATGGGTTTGATCTTGCTACCATTGTAGTTTTAAATTATAAACGAGGAGGCTTCCCTGCTGGATTCATTATAAGCAACAGGCACGATAGCATTGCTCTTTCTGTAGCATTTAATGCTATTAAACATGTTTGTGAGAATATCTCTCCTAAGGTTCTTATGACGGATGACACTGAGTCATTCTACAACGCTTGGGAGGATACGTTCGGAGAACCTCAGAAACGTCTCCTATGCTCTTGGCATGTTGATCGAAGTTGGCGGGAAAAAACATACAGAATTGGTGCCAAATAAGGAAGAGCAAGCCAATATTTATAAAATCATAAGATGTCTGTTATCAGAACCAGATCTTAACACTTTTATAGTGTTAGCAGGAAATGTTGTGAAATTGTTTCAAGAAAATGAACTTTCAAAAAGTTTTGGAGTTTATTTTGAAAAAAACTACTTGGGCAGAACTGAAGTATGGGCTTATTCATACAGAAAGTGGGCTGGCGTAAATACGAACAAGCATATCGAGCGTATGCATCGAACATATACTTAGAGGGGGATAAAATCAAACGCCTAGACAAAACAATCCATTGCCTCATGAAATTTGTCAGAGATAGGTTGTTTGGCAGATTGATTGCTTTAGAGAATGGCAAAATATCTTTTAAGATATCAAAATTGCGCAATAGGTATAAGAGAGTAAAACTCTAACATCTGATATATCTCCTCTGAGCGAAAATGAATGGGTAATAACATTCTCAAACAAGAATCGAGGAAATGTATTATATTCATAAAGCTGATGAATGCAGTAAGGAATTCCCTTTATTGTGTAAAGAATGTGGTTTTTGCATTCAGAATTTCACTTGTAGTTGCATCGATAATGCCATATAATGGAATATGTGCAAGCATATTCATACAGTTTGCTCAAAAGTTTAAGACGCCACAGTTTCTACAGAAATGGTAGACAACAATATTGAAACCCCTCTCGAAGGTGATTTGATAATTGATGAAAGTGAATCGCAGATAAAGAACACGAAAAGAATGTTCACGTTACATCTTTAAAAAGAAAAATTGAGGATATTGATGGATTAAAATCAGATGTCAAAAAATTTCATATTGAACTGGGTAAAGTGCTAGAGGAATGTGATTCCCAGGAAGAACTGTTAGATATAAAAAATATTTTGATAAAATCAAAAAAATTGTTCAAACATCATTCCTCCAAACAAAAAAATTGCTCACCAAAGATTTTTTTCAACGAAAAAAAAGAGCTAAAAACGAAAGCATTCAGAAAAACCAACAGCAGTAGAATCACATAGCATGCTCATTGATTTTAAATCAACAAAGTAAAGTCTCTGAATCCACTATTTGTTAGTGCCACTAATTAGTCTTTCTCTTAACATTTAACAACCAACATTTCACAAATATTAATAATTAAACATAGCAATTAAATATCTGCAACTTTTCCCACTGACACTTTTGCTTGTTTTCCCCAGATTATATGTCTTGTTTTTTTGTTTCAACACAAAATAATCATCACATGTTACTTAAAATTTCATGAAGCTTATTAAAAAAATTAATATTAACTAATGTGGTGTGCCTCGGCAAACACCCAGTCCCCAAGTATGTACCTCGACAACCCTCCTGACCACTCCAAAACGAACTGAAGTGAGGTAAATCCAGCCAGCATAACCGGTTGTAAAACCCCCTCATACTCACGCACTTCCAAACTGACTCGCGTGGAGAGAGGACGCGTTCCTCACCCCTTCATTAAAATTATCTAATTCTTTACAATGTAAGTTTTCATTATATGTTTTTGTTATAAATTAAATTTTTCCTTAACTTAAACTTTTTTTATTCTTATTTATTTTTGTAATTAATTTTTAATTACGCAATTTAAATATAGCATGTTATTAACTTTAAAGCACACACGTGGAATACAGCGAATCCGCACAACCCCCTACCATCCTTCTTCAAACGGTATGGTTGAACGGTTCCACAGTTCTCTGAAACAAGCTCTTCGGTGCCACAACACCAAATGGACTGAATCTTTACCAGTAGTTTTACTAGGATTGCGAAATTGCTTCAAGGAGGATCTCAATGCATCTTGTGTTGAGATGGTCTATGGACAAACTGTCGTCTTACCTGGAGAGTTCTTTGAACCGCCTTCCGATGCTCCAAGTGATCCTACAACTTATCTTTCGAAACTTAGAGAAACCTTCAGAACTCTAAAACCTACACCTGCGTCCTGCCATTCAAAATCGTCATGCTTCGTACATCCAGCTTTAGAAACGTGCTCCCATGTGTTCGTAAGAATCGATACCTTGAAACCTGCGCTGTCATCACCTTATGATGGACCTTTTGAAGTTCTCCATAGAACTGAAAAACATTTCACGATTCAGAAAAATGGGAAGGAAGCCACCATAAGCATTGACCGGCTAAAACCAGCCTTTCTTTTAAACATAGACTCAACAGACCCCGTACTAGAAGAAAGAGTTCCAACGCCAGCAGTTTCAACTCCACAAGTTCAATGTGAGCAAGGTGACTCTTTACCGGTTACGACTCGTTCTGGAAGAAAAGTCCAGTTTAACCCTCGATACTTGTAATCACTCTATAGACTTTCATAGACTGTTTCGTACCTTTGGTACTAAGGGGGGAGTACTGTGGTGTGCCTCGGCAAACACCCAGTCCCCAAGTATGTACCTCGACAACCCTCCTGACCACTCCAAAAAACGAACTGAAGTGAGGTAAATCCAGCCAGCATAACCGGTTGTAAAACCCCTCATACTCACGCACTTCCAAACTGACTCGCGTGGAGAGAGGACGCGTTCCTCAACCCTTCATTAAAATTATCTAATTCTTTACAATGTAAGTTTTCATTATATGTTTTTGTTATAAATTAAATTTTTCCTTAACTTAAACTTTTTTTATTCTTATTTATTTTTGTAATTAATTTTTAACTACGCAATTTAAATATAGCATGTTATTAACTTTAAAGCACACACGTGCTATAACTAACACCAATTTGTGGTGATTTTCATCTATGTTATACGTGGAAAGGGATGATTTCAGTTTATACATTGAACAGCTAGAACACTTTTTTTTGGCAAATGATGTTGAAGAAAACAAAAAAAAATTTGGTATTTATATCAACAATCGGAACTCAAACTTATAAACTTCTTCGAAACCTGTTGCTTCCGAAGCTGCCAAGTGAATGTTCCTACAATGAACTAAAAAAAGTTTTAACGCTACATTTTTAGCCAACTCCAATCATCATTGCTGAGCGTTTTCGATTTCATAGGCGAAATGAAACATCCGGAGAATCTGTTTCTCAGTATCTAGTCGAGTTAAGAAGACTGGTTTCCACGTGTGATTTTGGTGCGCTTCTTGATGAAGCATTACGAGATCGCTTTGTGTGTGGACTGTGCAACGAAAACATTCAAAAGAGACTTTTAGCTAAAAAGGACCTAAAATTAAATCATGCAATGGAAATAGCTACTGCTATTGAAATAGCTAAAAGTGATGCAGCTAATATGAAGACATTCACACCTGCTGTATACATAGTACAGCAAAGCTTTTCAGATCAGAAAAAAGGTAAACATAACTCTTCTAAAAATGTTTCCTCAAGTGTGCAGAGTAAAAAGAACTTTAACTGCTTTCGATGTGGTGCTGTCCATAATCCTACCAAATGTAAATCAGTTAAATGCCATTCCTGTGGGAAAATTGGTCACGTTTCACCTGTCTGCATGAGTTAGAACAAAGGCTCATCCACTAAAAAAGTTGAAAGATTTGGTTGTGAATCAGAAGCCTCATTGTATGCTGTTGCGTTCATTAATCAAGTGTCGGGAAGAAAAGAAATACACTATTACTGTCTATGTAAATGGTAAAGAACTGGAAATGGAGCTTGACACTGCAGCTGATGTCTCCATAGTATCAGAAGTGTGGGTGAAAGACAACTTATTCGAAGCTGAGGTGACTCTATCATCGACTAAATTAAGAGACTATAATCAATCAGAAATTGAGGAATGTGGCGAAATCCATGCTGTCGTTAAGTGCTGTCCCTCTCATAATTGTAAAAGGAGATAGGCCTGCCTTGTTTAGTAAAAACTGAATTAGTAAATTTAAACTCGACTAGAAAGAAATTTACCATGGACTCCATAAAAAGTGGAAACTCGCTCAGTATTGATCAGATCAGGCACAAGTATGCAGAACTTTTTCAGCCTGCCACTTCTCCTAATAAACATTTTAAAGTTTCATTGAAGATACAAGGCAATGCTCGACCATTTTTTTGTAAAGCAAGACCCGTGCTCTACACATTCGAGCAAGTGGTGTCTGATGAACTCAAACTATTAGAGCAAAGAGGTGTATGGAAATCAGTTGAACACTCCAAATGGGCAACGCCATTGGTAGTTATACCAAAAAAGAATGGTGCTGTTAGGCTTTGTGGAGATTTCAATGTGACTGTAAACAAAGTGTTAGAGCCTAATCAATGCCCTCTGCCTACGCAACAAGGCTTGTTTGCAACACTTAGGTGGTAAATACTTTTCAAAACTAGACTTAGCTCAGGCTTACTCACAAGTAGAGCTTGATAGTGAGTCTCAGGAGTTTTTTACACTCAACACTCACATGGGTTTAGTTCGACCAGCTACACTACAGTATGGAGTAACTGATGCACCTGCTCTATTCCAGTCTACAATGGAGCAAATGATACAGCCGTTCCCTTCAGTCATTTGCTTTCAGGATGACAGTTCCTTAAATTCAATGTGCATCTTAATGGTGATAAATGTATTTTTATGCAACTTAAGGTAGAGTTCAGGGTCACATAGTGGATGAAAGTGGAATTCACCCAACTGAAGAAGAGGTGTTAGCAATTAGAAATATAAAACCTCCTCAAAATGTTACTGGACCTTAAATCTGTTCATGGTCTACTGAACTATTATATAAAATTCATTAAGAATGCCTCAACATTGCTATCACCTTTGTATGAATTATTAAACAAAGATATTCCATAGACATTCCGAATCTCTAGACATTCCGTCTGTTTGCAAACACCGCGTCGTTCGAACGCTCATGTCATTCGTTCTTATTCTTAAATTCTATTTTATTTTTACTTACATTAAATAAATATTTTCAGTTGATTTAATATGTTTCTCACGTATCATTGCTTAAATTAAGCTCTCGCTGACAGGTTATGGGCCCAGAAATGGAAATATTAATCAACTAGAATGGACACTTAAGAACGAATTTGGAAATCGAAAGTGTTGGAAATAACAGAACATATCAGTTTCTTATCATCACTTGTTCGCTGAAATCACTTCTGACATCGAAAAATGGCTGAAGCAAATGCATTTAAAGAATTGCAGCAACAAATTGCAGATTTACAGACTCAATTAAATGCTCGAAGAACACCCGTTTCTACGTCAAGTGGGGGACTTCCAGAATCGAAACATCTTGATGGCTCGAACTATTCCGATTGGAAATTTCTAATGAAAAATTTCATAGTTGATGCTGGACTTTGGAGATTCATTGAACCGATAAGAAATGAAGAAATTGATCCTGAATTAGATAGAAGAGCACTGGCAAAAATAAATTTATCGATTAAACCGATAGCGTCAACCGAAACCAAGAAAGTGAAAACAGCTAAGGAAGCCTGGACGTCACTACAGAATACCTATGAAGATAAAGGGGTAATTAGAAGAATTGGACTGTATTCATCGCTATTTCGAACAAAATATGAAGATTGCTCATCGATGTCAACGTATATTGACAACATCTCGAAAGTATCGGAAAGCCTCTAAATAGTGAAACTGTTGGTGGAATAATACTTGGAGGACTACCAGAAAAATTCAGACCACTTATTCTCGGAATACAAGGCTCAAATCAAGTAATTACAGTTCATTTTGTCAAAAATTTGCTATTACAAAAAATTTGAAAGATTTGTGTTCTACATCAACCAATTGTTCAACGTCGAGTGTGTCCGCTTCTAAGTCTGGCAAGTGCCGTTTGGACAGGCTCATTGCTTGCCCTGATCAGAGCAAGACCAGGCCGGCCTCCCCCATACCAATCATGCACAGGAGCTTTCCTCCAACAGGAACCAATATCTTGCCTAGTCCGGGTTGCTATTTCTGAGAAAGTAAGAAGGTCATCGCCAGCAGTATCTCTATGGCTGCCCTCACGGGCGAGACCGTCAGCAATTTCATTCCCGTAGACATTCACGTGCGACGGTACCCACTGAAAAAAATTTCCTACTGTCGTGACTCAAGCAATTTAGAAGCTGGACAATGTTTAGTGTCGTTCTGTCACCATGCCTCCACCATTCAGACAGGTGCTGTATGGAGCTACGGCTGTCACTCAGAATCCATACATCTGAATCGACATTGTCAGCAATGTAAAATTTCACAGCTTCCTCAATAGCTATTAGCTCTGACCTAAAAACCGAGCAAAAATCAGAATTTTTGATACAGATCTTGATGCCAGTCCCCTTTAAGATGAAAATTCCACTACCCGATATAGCACCAGCACCCATGCTACCGTTAGTGTAGATCTGTAAAGCATCATTTGAAATTTTATGAAGGGTTTCCAAAGCCAGCTGTCTGAGATACTCTGGGTGCTGTAAGCCCTTGTTGGTATACGAGCATAAATCCGTTCTAAAAAAGACGCGTTCGTGGAACGACGTAGCAACATCCATGCAACCCGCCAAAGAGATATATTCTACTTTATAATATTCTTATCGCATTTAATGATTTAAAATATCCAGTTAAAGTTTTCGTTGTCACGTAGAATTTGATTTTTGTTCTAAGAATATTTTGGTTAAAATAATTTTAATACTTTGAATTTGTGAACTTTTAGGAAAGTACTTATTCTCTATCTAGTATTAAACAAAGTAAGCGTGTTGATTTAAAATGATTATAAGTGTTACAGTTTATAATATGGTGGTGTGATATAACAAATCGATAACTGAATGTTACAAAATATTCTCAGTATTATGGTGATTCATCCTTCCAGCGCATGTTACAAGGAAGCGCTGCGAGCGTATGTAAAAATCTTCTACCTTGTAAGCACTACTATAACTTTCACTTCTCTCAGCAGTTGTAACTCATTATGTTGTGATTTATCATTAAATGTTGCTTTGTTAAACGTTTGGAGATCATGTATGAATGAAAACCCATTTAAATACATTCTCTTAAATGGTGACCCGCGATAGACGTAACGTATGTATATCCTTATGATTATTATTTATTATGATTGTTGAAACTGAATAAGAAATTGCATCTCTCTGATTTTTGCATTATACACTGGTTATCATAGCAGCAGCAGCAGTAAAAATGCCAAACTTCATTCCATCTGATCCATCATTATGGTTCACAATGATTGAACCCACTTTTGAATTGGCTACTCCAAAGCCAATTACTGAATCAAGAACTAAATATAATCATTGTGTTGCCCACTTACCACCTGATATCGCAATGACTGTCCGTGACATTATCATCGATCCGGACAAGACGGATCCTTATGGAAAGTTAAAAACGGAAGTAATAGCACGATGTGGGGAAAGCAAATCGCTGGTGAGCAATTGGGAGAGAGAAAGCCATCGGAGCTCCTTCGTGTGATGCAGAGACGTGCTGAAAATCACAATGTTTCTGACACGCTAATTCTGGAACTATTCCTACAACAATTACCATCAAATGTGCTATCAATTCTGGCATCAATTTCTCTCCTAACTATTAAAAAGGCTGCTGAAATAGCAGACAAAATATTAGAAGTATCACCTCCACAAGTAAGTGCTGTTTCCTCTCAAAATTCTTTAAATGCTGACTCTGAACTCTTGAAAGAAATAAAACATTTGAGAGAAGAAGTTGCTAAAATGTCTTTGAGACAATCCAGAAGAGTTACTCGCACTCCATATCGAAATAATTTTCGACAGAGAAGCCCAAGTTCTAACAGACTCTGTTGGTATCATAGGAAATTTAACTCGAAAGCTCATAAGTGTGTACCTCCCTGTAATTTTACAGTGTTAAACGACAACGGCAAGGAGTAACGGCGACATACGCCTCTCGTCGCTTTTTTGCAACAGATCGGAAAAGTAATTTATGTTAAAATAATAATCAAAACCTTTAATCGTAATCCTTTACCTATTTTGTGTTTTGGCAACGCCTCTCTGCTTGTAGATCTGTGTGTTTAGAAACACGCTGCGTGCTAATTTGTTTCTTAATTATTTAATCTAGTATCTAATAAATTTATGTCAACTGTTAATGTCTATGTGAATTATTTATAATTGGTTATGGGAACCAGTAACGCGGATTAACTTGACATTTAGAAAGATAGCTAGGGAAAGCTTTGATTAGGCTTACTGGAAGTGAAACTCATGCTGTGTTGCATTCCTAGGACTAACACCTTTTTTTAACAATGGAATTTAAAGCTCATGTCGACAAACTTGTTGGTGTTTCTAACTGGAGTAAATGGAAACGTCAGATTGAACTTTTGCTTCGCCATCACGATGTTCATGATTTAATAACTGGTGATCAGGTATGTCCTGTTCTTTCCGAAAATGCAACAACGGAAGCAAAGGCGCTTCATGAAAAGAACAGAAAATCTTTCATGGAGAACGACTCTCTAGCACAACTTGTTCTAGTTAGTAGCATGGATGATGCAAATGTTGAACTCACAGCAACATGCGACAGTGCGATAAGTATTTGGCAAAAGTTACTTTCTATTTATGAGCAAAGCTCGGGTCAAAGGCTTGATCGCTTAATGGAACAATTTTTTCGATGTGAAAGGGATGCAAATGATGATGTTGTCACACATATTGCCAAATTGCGAAAGAATTTTAGTGAACTTAACGATGAACTTAAAAGAGTTGCTAAGACAACTCTTCCGAATTTGCTACTAATGAGTAGAATCATGTCAACCCTCCCATGTGAGTACTTTGAGTTCAAGAGCGCATGGGAGTCTATTCCAATTGAAGATCGTTCTATAAATATGCTGACAGAGCGACTTCGTCTAATTGAAATGGGATGGCAACCGAAGAAGTCAGATTCTACAGCTTTTCTTGTAGAAAAACAGGGCACATTGCCAAAGATTGTTAGAAGGCAAATAAATTGAAAGCCTCTGGTGACGCATTTGTGTGCGTTGAAGGAGTGGAGGAAAACGAACTCTGGATAGCTGATAGTGGAGCGTCAGCTCATATGACCAGTTTTAAAAATTATTTTCTCGATTTTAAGAAGTTTCCCTTTTCAAAGCCAGTGCATGTCGGCAACAACAACACAGTTTTAGCTTATGGACAAGGAACAGTAAATGTTGAAATGAAAGCAAATGGAAAATGGGTCAGCAACCATTTGTCAGAAGTATGGTATGTACCTGATGTGAGCAGAAATCTGTTTTCTGTTAGTCAGACACTTGAAAAAGGTTTTGCTTTTCAAGCTGAAAGAAAAGAATGTTTTTTCACAAGAGATGGAAGTGTACGCTTAAGAAGCGTTAAGACAGTAAATGGACTATATGCTTTAAAAATGAGAGTTGTGTGTCCATTAATGTCTGCTGAAATATGTGTTGCTTCTGCAGATCAGTCCTTTCAACTATGGCATGAGAAATCATGTCATCAAAACAATACTTATGTTAAAGAGTTTCTTGGTCGAAGGGGAATTAAAGTCTGTGAAAGTAAGGAATCTTGTGAAGGGTGCTTGTCTGGTAAACAACAACGTGGGTGATTTCCTGACTGACCTTGCCGACCAGCAGAAACTGGAGCACTTATACATGCAGATGTGTGTGGACCTATGCAGGAGAAGTCAATAGATGGATCTCGCTACTTTGTGTGTTTCAAAGACGATTTTTCAAAATTTCGTAGAGTTTTCTTCATGGAGTCAAAGTCTGAAGTGCCCAATTGTCTCAAGATCTTCTTAAATGAAGCTAAAATTGCAGGTCATACTGTTAAAGAATTTCTCAGTGATGGAGGAGGAGAGTTTAAAAATTCTCAGGTTTGTGAAACGTTGCAAAATAGGGGAATAAATATCAGATACTCTATGCCTTACACCCCAGAGCAGAACAGTGCTGCAGAAAGAGAAAACCGAACTATAGTGGAAACTGTTAGATCTACCCTTCATCATAAAGGTCTTCCTCTAAAGTTGTAGGCGGAGGCAGTAAACACTGCAGTATATGTCTTAAATAGAACAGGTCCAACTAGGCAGAAGAATAAAACTCCTATTGAACTTTGGTCAGGCAGCGCTTTTGATATAGCCAACTTGAAAATATTTGGAAACAAGTGCTTCGTGCATGTTCCTAAGCAGCGAAGGCAAAAATGGGATCCGAAAAGGGTTTCCGGCTATTTTGTTGGTTACTGCGGCAATAAAGGTGGCTATAGAGTTTGGGTACAGGATCAAAACAAAATCGTTTTGAGTAGAGATGTTATTTTTCAAAATGAATCCTATTGCTCTATGATACCTCAGAATGAGAAGTCATGTGATGATGTCAACGAACCATCAATTAATCATGAATCAGATGTAGAATTCATCAGATCCTCTGACAAGAAAGATTTAGATGTGAGCCAGGATTTAGATGTGGACCATTCATCTGATCCAGTAGATTTTGAAAATTTATCTGATAAGCAAGAGATAAACTTGTGAAACAGGTCACTGATAAAGAAACCAGCAAGATATGACAATTGTGTTCTTCTAGCTGAATATACAGAACCTGAAACATATAAAGAGGCCATTGCTTCAAAAGAAAGCAATGAGTGGCTTGCAGCTATGAAAAAAGAGATGGGTTCTTTAGAAGACAACAATACCTGGAAGTTTGTGAATCTACCTCAAGGTAGAAAAGCGATTGCTAGTCGCTGGGTTTATAAAGTAAAGAAAAATACTGATGGGACTGTTCAGCGCGTTAAAGCATGCCTCGTCGCCAAAGGCTACAGCCAAAAAGTTGGTGTTGATTTCAAAGAAACCTTTAGTCCTGTTGTGCGTTGGGATACCATCAGAACAGTACTCAGTATTGCTGCATTTAATAAGCTGAAACTGATTCAATTTGATGTCAAAACTGCATTTCTCTATGGAGATTTGCAAGAAGATATTTACATGTATCAGCCTGAGGGCTTTGAAGATGGTACTGAACAAGTCTGTAAATTGCTTAAGAGCATTTATGGATTGAAGCAAGCTCCAAGAGTTTGGAATGAACTCTTCAAAAGTTTCGCTGTGAAATGTGGTTTGAAACAATCAAACTCAGATCCCTGTTTGTTTTTGAATGATGAGAAATCAATTTACTATCTCATTGTGTATGTTGATGATAGAATTATTGCATCGCTAGATGAAAGTGTTGTAAAACAATTCTTAGAGAAACTTAAAAGTGATTTTAGTGTTGTGATTGGTAAGGCCAACTACTTTCTAGGTATGCAAATTGAATGCCTTGATGATGGTGGTATATTTATACACCAGGAAGCTTACTGTAAGAAAATTTTGAATAGGTTTGAAATGAATGAGTGCAATTCAGTAAGTACTCCAATGGAAAAAGGTAGTATTACCACTGATCAATCAGTACCCCTCCCAGCTGTTGTGCCTTATCGTAAAGCTATTGGCAACTTAATGCTCTTAGCAATTGTTTCTAGGCCTGATATATCGTATGCAGTTAGAGTGTTATCTCAGGTCTTAGACAAGCCTCAGCAGGTGCACTGGAATATGACCAAAAGAATTATGCGTTACCTGAAAGGAACTGAAAGATGTGGAATTCTGTTCCAAAGTAAGAAAGATTCTCAGATTACTCTTCAGTGTTATACCGACTCTGATTATGCAGGAGATCCTCTTTCGAGAAGATCCACTTCAGGAATGGTTTTCCTATCCAATGGTGATGCTGTTTCATGGAGGAGCCAACGACAAAACTGCATTTCTCTTTCAACGACTGAAGCTGAATTTGTTGCAGCTAGTCAAGCTGCAAAGGAGGCCATTTGGTTAGGTAATCTTTTAAGAGAATTACAGTGTATTTCTACAATACCAGTTCTACAAATGGACAACCAAAGTGCTATGAGATTAGTGGAAAACCCTGAATTTCATCACAGAACCAAACATATCGACATCAGATATAAGTTCATACGTGAACATTATGAATCAAAACAACTAGATGTTAATTATTGTAATAGTGATATGCAAATTGCTGATATCTTAACTAAACCTCTAGTGAAAGACAGGTTTCTAAAGCTCAGAAATTTAATTGGAATACATAATCTTAATTAAGTGTATCTGTGTATTTATGTTAATATTTATAGTGCTATATACTATTTAAGTTGTTATTGTATAATCTTTTTTTCAATGTGTTTAAGAAGACAAATATTGCTATTAGTGTTTTGATTTAGGGTAAGTGTTAAAATAATAATCAAAACCTTTAATCGTAATCGTTTACCTATTTTGTATTTTTGTGTTTTGGCAACACCTCTCTGCTTGTAAATCTGTGTGTTTACGAACACGCTGTGTGCCGGCTGTGTGCTAATTCGTTTCTTAATTATTTAATCTAGTATCTAATAAATTTATGTCAACTGTTAATGTCTATGTGAATTATTTATAATTATTTATGCTTTCTAGTGGACACGGGAAGCGACTGTTTTTTGATACCAGCATCGAAAATAGATAAAATGTCTGCTCCAACTCAAACATTCATTGATGCTAATGGAACTTCCATTAATGTTTATAAACGGAAATTATTATCCATTGATTTAGGTCTACGAAGACAATTTGTGTATCCTTTTTATATATGCAATGTTTCAACCCCCATTATAGGTGCTGATTTTCTGCATTACTTTAATTTAAAACCAGATCTTAGAAAACGTAAGTTATTTGATATTGAAACTCATTTAAATACGCATTGTGTATTTCATAATTCTGATATTTATTCTATCAAATCAATTGTAAATGATGATATTTTTTCTGAAATTTTAAGTGAATTTTCTAACATCAATAAATCTCCAAGCCCCGATCAAATTATTAAACATTCTGTACAACATCATATCGATACTTTTGGCCAACCTGTCTATGCTAAATCTCGACGTCTCGCTCACGATAGGCTAAAAATAGCAAAAATGGAATTCCAGCATATGTTGGATTTGGGTCACATGCGCCCATCCAACATCAATTATACTTTTCCACTACACATGGTTCCGAAAAAGAACAGTGATGACTGGCGTCCGGTTGGCGATTTCAGAGCACTTAATGCTTATACTAAAAAAGATAAATACCCCATTCCGAGCATTGTTGATTTTACTAGTCAGCTGCACGGAACAACTATTTTTTCTTGCATAGATTTAGTAAAAGCCTTCCACCAAATTCCGATTGCTCCCGAAGATGTTCACAAAACTGCTATAACCACACCTTTTGGACTCTTCGAAAGCACTCGGATGCAATTCGGTTTATGTGATGCTTCTAGCACATTTCAGAGATTTATAGATGAAGTGACTCGATGTTTATGCTTTTGCTGACGATATATTAATTGCATCAAAATCTCTTGAAGAGCATATTAAACATCTTAAAGCTCTATTTTTTAGACTTGACCATTATGGACTAACAATCAAACCTTCTAAATGTATATTTGGTGTTTCAAAATTAGAATTTTTAGGCTTTACAGTATCTAAAGATGGTCTTGAACCAATTTCTGACCACGTTAATGCTATTTTTAAATTTTCCTATGCCCACAACTTTAACCCAACTTCGTAGATATTTAGGCATATTTAATTTTTATAGAAGATTTATTCCTAAAGCCGCCGATATTTTATCACCCATAGTTAAATTCCTCGAAGGACACAAAAATCGCAGAAAACATCCTCGATCCAATGCTCAAAAATCTGATGAGCAATTAGAATGGAACGATGAAACAGATGCTGCATTCACAAAATCAAAAGAAGCTATTTCTAACGCCACACTTTTGCGTCACCCTATTCCTGGTGCTCAGTTAAACTTGTGGGTGGATGCGTCTAATGTCGCTATAGGTGGTTCCGTCAATCGACTGTCTGACAACCAATGGGAACCAATTGCATTTTATTCGGCAAAATTAAATAAATCCCAAAGAAATTGGTCAACATATGACCGAGAATTATATGCCACATATTCTTTAATAAAGAAATTTCGACATTTACTCGAAGGTCGAAACTTCTTTATTTATACCGATCAAAAAACATTAATTTTCAACTTCCATCAAAATCCTGACAAATGCAGTCCCCGCCAACTTCGCCTCTTAGAAAAAGACCTACTTTTTGAAATAGGTAAGGCCCACTTTATAACAGTAATCAACTTAACGAAAGGTTATTGGCAAATCCCGATGAAGGAAAGCGCCAAACCATATACAGCATTTGTCACTCATGCTGGAATTTACCAATAGAAGGTTCTTCGGAACGGTTTCAAGAATGCAGGAAGTACCTTTCAGAAATCCATGTATAAAGTACTAGCTCGCCATA